TAAAAAACATACAAAACTGTGTTTTATGAAATTAAAAAATTGCCAGTAGTTTTCTGTAAGGGGTAGGTTTAGGTGTACCTATATGGGTAAAGTTGAGACAAAAATGCACCTTATGTTTATGAGCTAATTGTGGAAAATATAAACTATTCATGGCTATTATTAGTTTATGATATTTTAGTACATAAGCAAAAGAAATATCATGTGAAAAATCACTTCATTTCGGCATCTAGTTTTTGTGTAGTGATGAAAAAAGCAGAAAGTATCTCTAATGTACTCAGTCTACCCTAAATGCAGAACGCGCCTCATATATATATATATATATATATATATATATATATATATATATATATATATATATATATATATATATATATAGGGTAGACTGAGTTGGGACATGCGTACAGTTGAAACACCTTAAATAACTTGCGTGCAAGGGAACCCTGAGCCGTGATTTTTGCTCCACACATGCGTATTAGCATTCTCTTTGATCATGGAAAATTTGAAAGGTGTGCTCTTTCCACTCCAAAGATATCGGCAAAGTTTTTTTTTTTCAAGGTAATATTTTCATTTCACCGTGTCCCTTCCACAATGAATAGCTTATTATCCTTTTATGACTGTTAAACTTCACGTGCATCATTGCAAACGTTACTCTGTGCTCTAAAAATAGACATATTTTATGATATTGTGCCATGCAAGGTCTTTGCATAATCTAGAGAAACATGCGAGTATGTCAGTGGGGTACGGTTGTATCAACAGTGCATCAACTGTACCCAGACAGGTGTCATATTGTGTCACATGCTGTTTAGCTGTACAGTGTTATGATAATAGGTTAAAAAACACATTTACACACATGCTACGCAAATCATGTTTAAAAAAAAAAATTTTTAATTTTATATCTGTCTAGTATTAATGGACATATTTTCTAACATGAATGTTAAAAGGATAACATAGCATTTTGTGAAATATACAAGGTGGTAAAGTGGGTACAGTTGACACACCCTTTATATATTATGTATGCAGTAACAGTTCCATCAGAAAATAAAATGCATATTCATAGGCTGTGTGTGTGTTTGTGTACTGGTATTACCTACGTTATGGGGACCAAATGTCCAAGTATAACACCAGTAAATTCGAACCTTATGGGAAAATTTCGTTAGGTCCCTATGAGGAAACAAACTTACAAATCATACAGAATACCTACGTTATGGGGACCAAATGTCCAAGTATAACACCAGTAAATTCGAACCTTATGGGAAAATTTCATTAGGTCCCTATGAGGAAACAAACTTACAAATCATACAGATTAAAAATGTAAAAACACAGAAAGTTTTGAGTAATGGGTATAGGTTTAGGGGTAGGTTTATAGAATATACAGGTATGTAGAGGAATAAAATATACTGTCTGTATACAGTATAAAAACCACTACGCTTATGGAATGTCCCTATAATGTTAAAAATACCAGTATGTGTGTGTGTGTGTGTGTGTGTGTACTGGTATATATGGTTTATGAGGACATAAATGTGTATAATGACATGGGTACTACAACATCAACATGGTTTATGAGGACACTTCCTGTGTCCCCGTAAAACAACAGGCTTAAAAAACATACAGTGTTTTATGAAATTCAAAAATTCAAAAGTGTATTTTCTTAAGAGAGTTTATTTTCTTATTTAAGATCAATAGGGCTTCTTTAAAGTCCAAAAATGGCTATAAACGCCCATATAGCCTATCTGAAAGTTTTTGCACAATTGAATTAAGACCTAATCAGTGTTTTTCTTAAAGCCTTAATCTACGTCTTATTCTTTCATGTTATATTAATGTAAAATGAATCAGAATATTCATAACGCGCCTCATATATATATATATATATATATATATATATATATATATATATATATATATATATATATATATATATATATAGGGTAGACTGAGTTGGGACATGCGTACAGTTGAAACACCTTAAATAACTTGCGTGCAAGGGAACCCTGAGCCGTGATTTTTGCTCCACACATGCGTATTAGCATTCTCTTTGATCATGGAAAATTTGAAAGGTGTGCTCTTTCCACTCCAAAGATATCGGCAAAGTTTTTTTTTTTCAAGGTAATATTTTCATTTCACCGTGTCCCTTCCACAATGAATAGCTTATTATCCTTTTATGACTGTTAAACTTCACGTGCATCATTGCAAACGTTACTCTGTGCTCTAAAAATAGACATATTTTATGATATTGTGCCATGCAAGGTCTTTGCATAATCTAGAGAAACATGCGAGTATGTCAGTGGGGTACGGTTGTATCAACAGTGCATCAACTGTACCCAGACAGGTGTCATATTGTGTCACATGCTGTTTAGCTGTACAGTGTTATGATAATAGGTTAAAAAACACATTTACACACATGCTACGCAAATCATGTTTAAAAAAAATTTTTTTTAATTTTATATCTGTCTAGTATTAATGGACATATTTTCTAACATGAATGTTAAAAGGATAACATAGCATTTTGTGAAATATACAAGGTGGTAAAGTGGGTACAGTTGACACACCCTTTATATATTATGTATGCAGTAACAGTTCCATCAGAAAATAAAATGCATATTCATAGGCTGTGTGTGTTTGTGTACTGGTATTACCTACGTTATGGGGACCAAATGTCCAAGTATAACACCAGTAAATTCGAACCTTATGGGAAAATTTCGTTAGGTCCCTATGAGGAAACAAACTTACAAATCATACAGAATGATTAAAAATGTAAAAACACAGAAAGTTTTGAGTAATGGGTATAGGTTTAGGGGTAGGTTTATAGAATATACAGGTATGTAGAGGAATAAAATATACTGTCTGTATACAGTATAAAAACCACTACGCTTATGGAATGTCCCTATAATGTTAAAAATACCAGTATGTGTGTGTGTGTGTGTGTGTGTGTACTGGTATATATGGTTTATGAGGACATAAATGTGTATAATGACATGGGTACTACAACATCAACATGGTTTATGAGGACACTTCCTGTGTCCCCGTAAAACAACAGGCTTAAAAAACATACGGTGTTTTATGAAATTCAAAAATTCAAAAGTGTATTTTCTTAAGAGAGTTTATTTTCTTATTTAAGATCAATAGGGCTTCTTTAAAGTCCAAAAATGGCTATAAACGCCCATATAGCCTATCTGAAAGTTTTTGCACAATTGAATTAAGACCTAATCAGTGTTTTTCTTAAAGCCTTAATCTACGTCTTATTCTTTCATGTTATATTAATGTAAAATGAATCAGAATATTCATAATAAGCTAGACAAGATAATAAACACAGGAAAACGATCGGATTTCAGTTTATTAATGTAATATATATTTTATTTATTTTTGGTAGAATGTTTTACATTAAATCTTCTCTGATCGCTCGGTCTCTCGGCCCAGGTTCTGCTGGGGCCAGTTGCACAAACTGTATAAACTAGTCTTAAAAAGGTAGCCATGTAATTTTTTTCCCACTAAACTGGTCATAACTTTTTAAAATGAGTTCCAAAAAGGTTGACTGCTGTAATTTGAATTGAACTGACTGGTTACCTCTTGGCTAACTGCTAGTTGGTCAAACTAGTTCAGGCTTATGTTTATGCAACTGGCTCCTGTGGTCGTCTGCTGTCCTCTGGTGGACAACATTCTGCTGGCTTTTGCTCTCGTGCATGCTTTCTTGATATTTTGCAGTTACGATTGGGAAACACACTTATATTTTACTCAGATTTTGTATTGTAGGAATTTTGTGTTGTTTTAAAATTTTGTTGATGCAGTCTTGTGATATTTATATAATTGTTTATGACTCATATAATTCTCGCCTCGTTGAACATTAATGGCAAATATTCATTTAAGGTCTCTTCCCTATGTGGACAAATGTGTAAGATTAAATGAACATACAACATTTTCGTATTTGCGCATAAGCAGCGCAGTCACAAAACACTTGAACACATAAATTCTATCCTGTTAGTAAGTTTAAGAAGGATATTGATGTTAACTGCTCTTTGCTCTTTGCACTTGGAAACTGTACCCCACATCTTCTGGCAATGTAGTTATGTTAAAAAGTTATAGTATGATGTCTCTATGTTTATCAAAGAAAAGGTATTCTTTAATTTTAATTTGCATTTGTAGTTTTTGGATATTTTAATTATGATAATGTAAATAAAGTTTTTGTTATTAATCCATTTATTTTGTTGGTTAAGTTTCACATTCATAAGTGTAAATTTTCTAACAAAAAAACCCTGTTTTACAGTGTTTTTTAAAGAGTTGGAAAATTACTTGTGTACTATTCAACATAGTACTAATAGAAAGGCAATTAAAACTGTCAGTTTGTGTTCTGTCTTCAAAATCTTTGAGTAATGTAAAGGTCGTGCATGTCATGCTCAGTTGTCAGTTTAGATGAAGCATACAAATGATTTGTAATAAAAACCCAGCTAACAGGGACTGTTCTCAGAACCCTGGCTAACATTCTGCAAGGTTCTCTCATGAACAAAACGTTAACTGCTCTTAAAAAGTGAACTGCTCTTTAATAATGTTCTCAAAATGTTAGCACAAAAACGTTATTTATATATCTTATATAAAAGTGTTTTTTTCTTCTAAAACCTTTTAGTTTTAATTTTAACATTTTAATTTTAAATGTTATTACTGGTTTCAGAATGTTCAACGCACGTTCAAAAGTAACCTTCTCATAATATTCCCAAAAATGATAAAAATGAAATGTTCCCTTAACGTTATTATTACCAAGACAAAAAAAATTGACTTTTTGAAAGTTCAGAGAACATTCAGAAAGCAGGTTTACATTTTAACTTAATGGGAACATTAGCAAAATGTTTATATAAACGTTTTTTTTTTTTTACATGTTTGTGCCAGTTTTTTTAATACCCAGTTAGTTTTTTGATGTTGTGAAGGTTTTTAGACAGCAGCTGCAGACAGAATGCAGCTGATGTTGACAAGTGCCATGTCAACATACAGTAAGCACTTACTATATCTTTCAGCTTCAAAATGAAATAATTCTGGCAGACACAGAGGCTAATGATGATCAGTCAAATGAGGTTTGTCCTTCTTCTTTCACTACTTTTGAATTTAAAAATCAGCTCTGCATATTAATGTTACTTTTCAGTTGAGACAAATATTCCCAAATTACTCAAATTATCTTTTTTTGTACCCAAATTACTCAAACTGTAATTATTATTATTTTTGACTGGCAGGCAGTGAATCACCTGATTGCAATCACATCTGAGCTAGAGCAATGGCAAGAAATGGAACCAAAATGTAAGCTATTATCTATTGTTTTATGTACTATTTCAAGTTAGATTAAAGGGTTAAGATACAAAAAATATATTTAAATTCAGTATTCAATATTACATATTTTAATTGCACGGTTGATGTGAAGACAGTTTGTTTTTTTCCCCTACTAGTGCTGACAACAAATCCTGAAGTCTTACTAGTGGTTGGTAAAGAAGAGGTAAGTTGTCACTTTAATAACACCCAATAGGTAGTGATTGTATCAAAATGTAAATGCAGTTACAAGTTTTCACGCAATTTTCCCTCACAGTTGCAGAGTCTCAACAGTCAACACTAAAATGGTCCTGTCATGCTCACAAGCAAAGCTGGATGCCCAGAAAAAGATTTTGAAAAGGTGCAATGTAAATTGTTTTTTTTCTCAGTATAATTGATATACTATTATTGTTAGTATTTTAAGTGTTAACTTTAAACAGAAATGATAAATGTTGCCTTGGCAACTAGCTGAAAGAATTCTTTATAAAGGTTGAATTAATTGGTAAATTCCTTGGTAAAATAAGTATTTGGTCACCTACAAACAAGCAAGATTTCTGGCTCTCACAGACCTGTAACTTCTTCTTTAAGAGGCTCCTCTGTCCTCCACTGGTTACCTGTATTAATGGCATCTGTTTGAATTCGTTGTCAGTATAAAAGACACCTGTCCACAACCTCAAACAGTCACACTCCAAACTCCACCATGGCCAAGACCAAAGAGCTGTCAAAGGACACCAGAAACAAAATTGTAGACTTGCACCAGGCTGGGAAGACTGAATCTGCAATAGGTTAGCAGCTTGGTGTGAAGAAATCAACTGTGGGAGCACTTATTAGAAAATGGAAGACATACAAGACCACTGATAATCTCCCTTGATCTGGGGCTCCACGCAAGATCTCACCCTGTGGGGTCAAAATGATCACAAGAACTGTGAGCAAAAATCCCAGAACCACACGGGGGGACCTAGTGAATGACCTGCAGAGAGCTGGGACCAAAGTAACAAAGGCTACATCAGTAACACACTGCGCTGCCAGGGACTCAAATCCTGCAGTGCCAGATGTGTCCCCCTGCTTAAGCCAGTACATGTCCAGGCCCGTCTGAAGTTTGCTGGAGAGCATTTGGATGATCCAGAAGAGGATTGGGAGAATGTCATATGGTCAGATGAAACCAAAATATAACTTTTTGGTAAAAACTCAACTTGTCGTGTTTGGAGGAGAAAGAATGCTGAGTTGCATCCAAAGAACACCATACCTACTGTGAAGCATGGGGGTGGAAACATCATGCTTTGGGGCTGTTTTTCTGCAAAGGGACCAGGACGACTGATCCGTGTAAACGAAAGAATGAATGGGGCCATGTATCGTGAGATTTTGAGTGAAAACCTCCTTCCATTAGCAAGGGCATTGAAGATGAAACGTGGCTGGGTCTTTCAGCATGACAATGATCCCAAACACACCGCCCGGGCAACGAAGGAGTGGCTTCGTAAGAAGCATTTCAAGGTCCTGGAGTGGCCTAGCCAGTCTCCCGATCTCAACCCCATAGAAAATCTTTGGAGGGGGTTGAAAATCCGTGTTGCCCAGCGACAGCCCCCAAACATTACTGCTCTAGAGGAGATCTGGATGGAGGAATGGGCCAAAATACCAGCAACTGTGTGTGAAAACCTTGTGAAGACTTACAGAAAATGTTTGACCTCTGTCATTGCCAACAAAGTGTATATAACAAAGTATTGAGATGAAATTTTGTTATTGACCAAATACTTATTTTCCACCATAATTTGCAAATAAATTCTTTAAAAATCCTACAATGTGATTTTCTGGATTTTTTTTTCTCATTTTGTCTCTCATAGTTGAGGTATACCTATGATGAAAATTACAGGCCTCTCTCATCTTTTTAAGTGGGAGAACTTGCACAATTGGTGGCTGACTAAATACTTTTTTGCCCCACTGTATATATATATATATATATATATATATATATAATTTCATTTCAGTGAACGTTTGCTTTATTTCAAGTAAAGACATAATTTTATTTTTATGGTTTTAGTTAACGATAATATCTCTTAAGACATTAAAAAATCATACATGTTTAATATAAACAACAAATATAAAACTCTGTGATCACTCTGAAAATGTTTTTCAGGGAGCAGACATGGCAAGCAGAGAAGAAAGAAGCATTGAATGCAGTGTGTGAGAAAATCAGCAGATTACAGCGTGAAAACGAGAAACCAGAGCACAGGTTGTTAGTTTTATGCTGGCATTAAAAATCAAATTTTTACATCTGCTTAAAGGGATATTTACCCAAGAATTAAAAATTGGCATAATTTATGTACTCCTCATCATGCCATTCCAAACCTGTACATTTTTATTTGTGAAATACAGAAAGAAAATTATTTTTAGGAATATTCATTCATTTGGCTACAACGTATGTAAGAATGAATGGCGCTTGCTTTTTGGTGTTTATGATGTCAAGCCTGGTGTGTGACATCATGTTAGAATGGAATGCAAGCTCAAATTGCATTTATTTCTATTGTAATATATTTTAAAATGTAATTTATTCCGGTAATGCAAAGCTGAATTTTCAGCATCATTACTCCAGTCTTCAGTGTCACATGATCCTTCAGAAATCATTCAGATATGTAGGAAACATTTCTTATTATTATCAATGTTAAAAAGGTTGTGCTTCATATTACTGCAGAAACTGTGGGTTAGATTTCAAAAATAGTAATATTTTTATTCAGCAAGGATGCATTAAATTGATCAAAACTGTTACAAAAGATTTCCAATTCAAATAAATGCTATTCTTTTGCACTGTCTATTCATGAAATAATCCTGAAAAATGTGCATCCCAAAACTCTTTGAAAAAAAAGTTTCTGAAAGTAATTTTCAGATGCAATGGGAAAAAACGTCTAGGTTACTTGTGTAACCCTCGTTCCCTGAAGGAGGGAACAAAGACGTTACGTCAGTGACTGACGAATTGGGATCTCGCCCGAGAGCCCAATCACCTCCGAGTGTAAACTAAAAAAGCCAATGACAGTTTTTCGCTGAGGAGCCGAGACTACATGCCCCGGCCGTACAGCGGTGGTACAGCAACTGTGGCGACGGAACGTAACGTCTCCATTCCCTCCTTCAGGGAACGAGGGTTACACAAGTAACCTAGACGTTCCCATTCAGTCAGTCACGTTCTACGTTACGTCAGTGACTGACGAATTGGGATCCGTATGGAAAACGCCACTATTGCTGACCCCCTCCAGTGCCCTGCGGAAGTCGGCAAGTCCCCCCACACCAGCTGGGGCGGAAGATAGGACAGCGGCTAGGCAGAGGTGTCCGCCACTGCTGTTCCATACAGTGGTACATTGGATAACACTGGGAAAGCGTACCCAATTGGGACGCTACAGAAGCCACATCCCGCACATAGGAGGTATCATGTGGAAATTACACATATGGACTGGCCCTCAGGGCAGTACTACATATGGAAGTCCCTGCGGTAGACTCAACCCGCCTGGGGTGAGATCACTACACAGCAGAGATGGCAGT